TTTTTTTTTTTTTAAGAGAAGAGGTCTCACCAAGTTTCCCAGGCTGGTCTCAAACCCCTGGGACTCAGGTAATCCTCTTGCCGCCGCTTCCCAAAGTACTAGGATTACAGGTCTGAGCCACCGCGCCCGGCCAGAAGGAGGATTTTTAAATGAATGCTTATAAACCTACCAATTACTTAAAAAACCCCACAAAACCATGAGAACTCCGCCCCTCCGCCCACTCTGGCCCTTTGGGCTGGGGCCCCGCCCACGTCGCGCTCGGGCCGCCGCCGGGGCGGCGTGGTGCGCACGCGCGGGTCGTGCCGACGGAACCTTAGAGCGCCGGAACCCGGTGCCCGGAGCGGGTCGGCTGCGGAGCGTTTCCGGGGACGGCGGCGCCATGAGGTTGCCTGCGGGTGTGCTGTGCGGCGCTGCCGGGGCTGCCTGGCGGGAGAACTTCCCGTTGCGCGGTCGCGACGTGGCGCGCTGGTTCCCAGGCCACATGGCCAAGGGTGAGGCCCGGCGGGTAGGGGCAGGGTCCCCAAGGCCGGGCTGCCTTTGGCCGCCCGTCTGCGCCGCGACGAACGGCGGCCGCGGCTGGTTTCTCGTGGTTGTCCTGAGGCGAGTCCTCTCTGCCCTGCCCTCGCCCCTCCCACTTCTCCCCGTGTCCCCGTCCCCCCGTCCATGCGCGGCTCCGGCAGAGGCTGGTTCCTGGGAGACGCCCCCCACGTCCTCGGCGGCGCGGGCCCGGGTGCTGCCTGATCCCGGACCCCGGGCCCGCTGTCCACTGCCCCATAGGGACGATTGCCAGCAGGACTGGACAGGGCTCACCTCGATTCCCAGCAGGTTCCTTTTGCCCCTTTGTTCCCCCGATGTTTCAGATTCCGATGTTTTTGAAATGGTACAATTTTCCGAATATTATTTTGAGGACTAAATGAAATAGTGGGTATGAAGGCACACATTCACGTTGTCCGCTATTACCATCGCAGCACTCTAAAACGTTTCGAATTTTTTCTTCCTCTTGCTTAAACGTCTTTGGTTATTTCCTACTGTTTATCAAAATTAGGCCCCAAGAAGACATCTGGGCCCCTTCCAGCCATTGTAGGTGCTGTGATTCCACTTCTGCTCCAGCCCCTTAGGAAGCTTGGAGAAGAGAAGACGCAGGGAGGGGGATGATGCTGTGTCTGAGGATGTACATAAATAATAGGGCTGTGTGATTTTTGTTTTATATGTGTTGTTCTTGGTTAGGGGACCCGTGGGTACATCATGGCCATCTTTACACGGTATCAAAGGCCTAAGGAGCCAGCCTTAGTCTGTTCTACAGCCCAATTCAAGACCCATAGAAGTTAAATATTCCACCCAGGGGCTGAATTTGTCTGTGTCTCCTGGAGCCACAGGTGTGGAACTTGGAGGAGGCACTCAGCAAATGGTTACTGGTTATTGGTGACTTAGGTTATTGCCACTTCACTCAGATGTCTGTTTTTAGGTTGTGTTATGTTTGCGTGCTGTTCTGGACAGTTCAGCTTACATGTACCACTCTTGAAAGGTTGTGAGCCCCTGGGCTTAGGCATTCTTCTGTTTTCCAGGGCTGAAGAAGATGCAGAGCAGCCTGAAGCTGGTGGACTGTATCATTGAGGTTCATGATGCCCGGATATCCTTTCAAGTTTGGGAGATGTTCCTCTTCCTGAGACGGCAGGAATCATTCCTGGGTTCCCACCTTGTTTCTGTCCATCTCATCTATCTGGCCTCTGCTGCTGTCCAGTTAGTCAACCACAGTGGGCAGCAGCATCATTGATATTTAAAGCAGTGGTTCTCAACTATCATTACACTAGAATTACTACTTGAGACGGCTTTTAAAAATACCAATTGTTAGGCTCCTTCCCAGACAAGTTAATCAGAATCTCCGTTGTGAGGTTCATGATGTATGGTTTTTTGAACTCATTGATATATCATTAGTCTAGAATTCTGCCTGGCTCATCTAAGCCTTCCAGTATGGTCCAGCAGTAGAATTCTCTAGATAGCATATTCAAACTTAGTTTAAGTGTTTCTGCCAACTGGGGCTTTCCTTCTATGCTTAAGAAATGGATTGTTAAGATTTGATGATTTGTTCATTGACAACTGTATGGCTCAGAGTCTTTTTTGTTATATTTGAGCTATGTTTAGATTCTCTTTATATAATGCAGGTGTTGGTTTGAGAGCTGTCAACCATTCTGCCTTGTTAACCCTAGAAGAGTGTGAGGAAGATAAACCAGTAGGCCCAACCCTTGGATAGTGCTGGCCTAGGGACAGCTAGTTACATGTGGCCATTACTTCTATTGCTGAGATTTTCTGGAAATAGTAGTTGAGGATGAGGATCATTTTTAGGGTTTCAAAGGGTTGTTGGAGCTGGTGCAGTAAATATTGGGTTTCTTTGCTGTAGGCCGGAAATACACCAGTTCATACAATATCTCTTGTGGGTCAAAGTGTTTATGTTTGATTATTGAAAAATAAAGCCTGTAGTATTGATTATTCAGTATATGTGAGAGAACATTTCTCCTTCGGTCTTTGGTCTACTTTCTTATCTAGGATGTGGCAGGATGCTGGATGGTAACCTCCCACATCCAAGGAGGGGTTTCAAGGCTTGGAGTGTTCTGAATGAACGCAGGGTTGCTTGACCTCTGAGTGAAGTGGTTTATGTCCTGCCCCTCTGTGGCTTTTGGGCACAGCAGCTTAACTGGGTTCCTAGACCGGGGCATACCAGAGGCTTTGGGACTCTCACAGCTAGACTCAGTAGGAGAAATGAAGCCCCAGGTAGGGGCTGAGGGCTCAGAAGATAAAGATAAGAAGCCCCTTCCTGCCTGTGTTAGTGTTACATAAGCTGAGACCCCACAGCCACAGCGCCCGGCTGAGGGGGAAGAAACCTGAGGATGACAGGAAGGAGGTAGAATCTTTCAGGGGTTTCTGTAGGGAGAATGGACCTTCCCACCTGCAGGTGCAGCTGCCAGACCCGGATGGTCACAGAGGGTGGCGGTGGTAGTGTGAGATATTCTGGTTAGGACTTTATGGAAGGCAGTTTTTTTGAATGGTCAGATCATTTTTGAACTTATGTACCATGGTGACTAAAAGGTGACTTGGTTATTAAACCTTTCTCTGAGCTTTGTTTTTTTTTTGTTTTTGTCACTGTCTTTCACTGCACCCTTTTCCCAGCCAGGAGGGCAGTTTCTAGTTGGCTCTGCAGCTCTTACAGTGTAAAGTTGGGCTGGCTGGTGTGTGCTTGCACCCAGGCTGGGCTTCCTCCTCCATGTCAGCTCCTTGGGACATGGAGGAGGTGTCAGGAGGTGGCAGTGGCTCCAGTCTGCATAAGGAGACAAGACAAGGTTAATTGGCTGGTAAAGCTTTGAAGGTGTTTTGCCTTAACTTTGCTACATCCCGCTTTCAGGCCGCAACCCTCTGTTTCAGGAAACCCTTGGACTTAAACCTCACTTACTGATCCTCAACAAAATGGACTTGGCAGACCTCACAGAGCAGCAGGTAAAGACCCTTCTCTCAGATGTCTTCAGTGTGGTCATGTTTTCATGGTCATTTGTGGCGAGCAGAAGAGTTGCTGGGCTTACACTTAGTGTTTGTTACCCAGGCAGGCCCAGCGATAGAAATGGTGCTTTGCTTTGCAGAGGTGTGCCAGCATGGTTTCTCGTATAACATGCCTCTTCTAGTGTTAATTCTTGATGTAAATGCCCCGAGAGTGCATGCCTCCTGTGGGAGGTGGAGTCTGAGTGACAGCCTCAGTGGCACTGTGGACTTTTCCTTGGTGATATGGGTCTGTTGTGTCCCCACGTGGTGGCTGGAGTGCTGTAAGCACCTGACATGGATCCACACATGACCATCATATTTTACTTAATTACTTTGGGTTTTAGTAGCCGCATGCAGCTGGTCTGGTCTGGTCAGATCTTCTGTGATGGCTGCAGTGCCCCCAGGTGTCCAGCCTGCCAGTGTGACCCCAGAACCTGTGTGCCGGCTGAATTATGCACATGGCAGGATCTGGAAGCTGGAAGGGCTGAGGTTCCTCCAGAGCCAGGCATAGTCGGGCACAGGTTACCCTGGGCAAGGTGTCTGGAGGTGAGAAGCATGAACACACCTGGTAATGTTAATTTTGAAGGGCTTATCTCTGCTTCTCTTGCTTGGTTATCAAATTCTTCAAAGAGTAGGTGTCCAAATCTTTTGAATTCAAGTCACTTTAGAAAAAAATTGTTAGTGGTGCAGAATTTTCTTTTGTTGCAGCAGCAATAATGCTTTTCAGGTTTCTTAGTTTACTGTGGTCCATTCAAGTGACTTAAACCCAGCCACAAGGCTCTACCACAAGTTTCCAGGGAAACACTAACTACTAAGCAACCAGAGTTGCTTTGTTCATTGAGAATTCAAGCAGAAGACACTTCCCATAATGATAACCCATGCCATAATGCATGCCTACAGATCTGATCTAAAACCTTGCTATGCAGAAGGAGTCAGTGCCTCTGAGAACGAAATGTTATTTTCCCTGCCTTTGCAGCTTTAGTTCTTTTTTTTAGATTGAAATGATAGTTTATTTAGAAAGTAGATTCTATAGTTTATTTATAAAGTAGATTAGAGAAAGAGAGAAGACTCACCTCCCCTAGCTTGAGGAGGGGCCAAAGCTGCTTAAAGAAAAGCATGACCGGCCAATGCTTAACAAGAACAATGGCCGCCGCTACTGGAGGTTGAATGCTTTGAAACGTTTCCTGTGATGGGGGCAGGTCATCGGCTTTAGTTCTTTATCATCACAGGTGCTTTTTTTGGTTATTTTCCCCCATAGAACTGAAGCTTGAGAAACAAGTGCTTTCTGTTGCTTTCATTAGCTGAGACTTTTGAGTCATATCAAATGGTTACTTTCTCTAAAATACTGTTTCATGGAGGGTGATCACCTAACACAGGGGCACAGCAGTGTCTTACCTGGTTGGGAGATAACAAATTCTAGGTGCTTCTATAGCTGTTGCTTTTTGAAGAGTCAAGAGTAGACATGCCTCCGGGTGGAGTAGGTATGCCTGAGTGAATTTACCCACTTAGAGTGTGGCCTCAGGTGTATATGTGGTGCTTTATCTCTCAGGCCTTGCCATCATGTTGGGTAACTAACTAAAACCAGGCTGGGTGCAGTTTTACCTGTAATCTCAGCACTTTAGGAGACCAAGGTGGGAGGGTTGCTTGGGACCAGGATTTTGAGACCAGACTAGGGAACATAGCAAGGCTCCATGTCTACAAAATTTTTTTTTTTCAAAAATTTTTTAAAGTAGTTAAGTGTGGTGACAGTCCCAGGCTGAGGCAGGAGGATCTCTTGAACCCAGGAGTTTGAGGCTGCAGTGAGCTATGATTGTGCCACTGCACCCCAGCCTGGGCAACACAGTGACACCCTATCTTAAATCCACTTGAGCTCTGTTAGTAATATTTTTGTTGATTGAAGCATTGATCTTATTTTTAGGTCAGTAGCTGTTCAAACAACACAACACTGATTTTTAAAAACGGAATATAGCTTTACACTGATTTCACTGGATGTTAAGTCTAGTAAGTTTATGTTAACCTTGGTTTACTTTTGGGCTTTTAAATATTGCATATGCTGCATTCTGTAATCAGATTGGGCTTAAACCTCAGTTTAAAGTAGACTTCATTTTGTGAAATAGAACACACGGAAGTAAAGAGATTACTCATAAGGTCCCAAATCATGTACTTTTTTTTGCTGAAAGTAGCTTCAGAACATCCTAATTCATCCTGCTTGTCCCTGCCCTGCCGCCCTCCCTCCTAGTCCCACTGTGGAGCCTTCCCTGGGGCCAGCCATGGGGCTCAGTTGCCCTCCTTGGAGCTCCTGCCCCCTCCTAGTTGCCCAGGCTCACCATTCCCTGTGCCTGCGTCTTCCTGTCTGCCTCTCTTTCAGCTCCTGGTGGCCCAGCCTGCGGAGATTCTGAGCAGATGAACACCTCTGGCAGAATGTAGCCTGCCATCTCAGATCCCTGAATTTTGTGTTATACCATTCGAGTTTTCATTTGTTATTTTTTTCTTTTTGAGTTGGGGTCTCACTCTGATGCCTAGGCTGGAGGGCAATGGCACACTCAGGGCCACCGCAGCTTCGAACTGCTGGGCTTAGGCAATCCTTCCACCTCAGCCTTCCAAGTAGCTGGAGCCACAGGCATGCGCTATCATGCCCGGCTAATTTTTTTGATTTATTGTAGAGATGAGGTCTCACCAAGTTGCCCAGGCTGGTCTTGAACCTCTGGGCTCAGAGTCCTCTCACCTCAGCCTCCCAAAGTGCTGGGGTTACAGGCTTGAACCACTGCACCTGGCCTCATTGGCTATTTAAAATGGAAATGTCTCTTACAGAAAATCATGCAACGCTTGGAAGGACAAGGCCTAAAAAATGTTATTTTTACCAACTGTGTGAAGGATGAAAATGTCAAGCAGGTAAGCTTTTTGTGTATGTGTGATGTTTCTGCTTCAGTACGTTCAGGGAGTAATGTGATTTGTTGTATGCTTTAATAAGAAGTTGAACTTTGGAAGAGATCCAAGGTGTTGGTTTCCAGCTGCCACACAGGTGCCTCCTGGGGTGAGCCTGTCTCCCTGTGCTGAAGAGCACAGAGTCTGGCTGTAAAGATACATTCCAGGGTAGTAAGTGGTGAGCGCCATGTTGCAGAGTCTAGTCACATTTTCCTGGTTGTATTTGGCAGAATTTCCTGGGTTAATGTGATCTTCATTAGAAGATAGTTACAGGCACAGCCGTCACTGAAGCCCTGGGGGCCAACCTGCTTGTTTGTGGTGGGGTGGGGACGGGGACAGGCACAGGTGGCCCCGACCCGCACAGCTCGGTCTGACATCTGTGATCTGGACAGAGCTCGAGTTTCCCAATGCCGTACACTTGAATGTACCACCTCCAGAAATTAAGGAAGACACCAGATGTCTGTGGACACTGAGTAGAAGTCCAGATGTAGGGACTGGGCTCTCCGAACGGATGCGTGGCAAGGGAGACCCTGGCGCCCCGATCTTGGTGTTCTGGGGCAGCAGGACGAGTGAGCTAGTGACGTCATTCTTGGTCTGTTGTAGATCGTTCCCGTGGTCACTGAGCTGATTGGGAGCAGCTACCGCTACCACCGAGGAGAGGTTGGTGGGGGGCCTCAGGGCTGGGAGGCGGGTGTGCGGTGGGTCGTCAGCTCCTTCTGCCCGGCCTCTCTGAGGAGAGAGTGCTGCAGCCCAGGCAGGGAGCACTCTCGTCCGCCGCTTTCACGAAAAGGGGTGGTGCCGGCCCTGCTGGGTTGGCAGGGCCTCCGCCATGACCTCCTTGCTTCCTTGAGCTGGGGACCCCTCGCCTGGGTCGGTCGGAGGCCTGAGGCTCCAGGGGGCCTGGGTGTGGGCCCTGGGACTCCTCTTTCCGCCTCCGCAGAACCTGGAGTACTGCATCATGGTGATTGGAGTTCCCAACGTGGGCAAGTCCTCCCTCATCAATTCCCTCCGGAGGCAGCACCTCAGGAAAGGTACTGGCACCATGCAGCCCCTGTTTGGTCTCTGTCTTGCCTGGAGGGGAGGGTGCACAAAGAGTGCAGCGGGGCTTCCGTTGACCCCACATCCCCACAGTGCCTGGTTGTCCGGTTCCACCAATTCATAGTGCAGGGTAGGATCGAATGGTGGGACAGTCATTCTGCTGTAACTTTTACTCTCAATTTTTCTCTATTTAAAATCTGTTCTACAAGGATGACTTTTCTAAACTTTGATGATTTTGTTCTTTCACTTATTTAAGTCCCTTTGATCCAGAGGATTCAGCACTTTGTGAAGTGGATGGGCTTGATGATCAGGCAGGGCGGCTGACTTTCTGTGAGCCTGTCTGAGGCTGGCTCTGGCTCAGAGTATTCTCAGCATGCTGCCTTTGCAGGAAGGTTTTCTAACCTCATGTTGGAATTGCCTGGTGGGCACTCCTTGTTTCATGCTTGGTCTCGGAGTAAGTTTGATTCACAACAGAAACCCCACAGTGCTCACTCACTGTCACCTTTTTTTTTTCCTTAACTATTTTGAAATTTAATTCAAGTCTGCACTGACTTCATTTTTCACATTAAGGATGTAGCATTTATTAAGAAACTCATTGCAATGTGCAATTCTGATGACTTTAAACTGTGATGAGCCATTTTATACAAAGAGTGTTTTTAGTGCTAACTGGGGAGATGTGATAGTCATTTATGCTAAGTTTATTTTTCTTTAAATGTGTTATTTTTCTATTGGTAGCATTAAGTACATTTACAGTGTTGTGTCACCAGCACCCCTGTCTATTCTCAAATGTTGTTTTCATTACCCCGAACTGAAACCCTATAAACATAAACAGGGTTTATGGGAGGTTCTCCCTCCCCTGACCCTCCCATTCCACCTTTCTGTCTGAATCTGACAACTCTAATGACCTCAAACAAGTGGAATTATAGTATCTGTCCTTTTGTGCCTGGCTCATTTCACTGACAGTGTGGAGGTTTGTTCCTTGACACATGCTGAGCTGGGTCCCAGAGCAGCAGCGTGGTTCTTGGGGTTCAGGGCCCAGATGGTCTCCAGTTCTGGCTTCACAGACAGGCCCGTGTGGGTGGTGCTGTGGGGGGCAGGCTCGCCTGCAGGTGCAGGGATGAGACCAGGATGGATAAGGAAACTTCATGGGAGGAGCAGCTTTGGTCTCTCTGCTGCAGACCGGGAGTTCCTTTCCAGTACTGGTGAGGTGCGTTCTGTAGCCATTGTTGCAGCCTCTTGGCCCTGGTGTGGCTTGTCAAGCACCCCTGCCATGAGCTGGTGTGAGACTGAATGTGGAATGAATTATATCTTTGGGAAACTCCTTTGACTTTGGGAAAGTTGGATTTTGGCTAGTCAGACATGTCAGTTACACATGCAGTTCATTGCTTGTTCTATAGCTGATGTGTTTAGTGTACCTTTGACAGCCCCTTTCTATCCTACAGGAAAAGCCACCAGGGTGGGCGGTGAGCCTGGGATCACCAGAGCTGTGATGTCCAGAATTCAGGTGGGGTCCTTGGTGGCCGGGCCCGGCTCCATCCAGTTGTACAGGCCTCCAACGCCTTCCCTTCCCCGTGGGGCACTCCCTACCCATGCCAGGACTGCCCAGTCCTTATGCCAAACCTGTGGGGAAGGCACTCTGCTTGTCCCATTTCCAGGTGAGGGGACCACCTGCCCGGGACCACACAGCAGTTAGAGCAGGGCTGGGTGGAACCCACTCTCCACGCCTTAGTAGATGGCATAAGCTGTTGAGACCTGGTGCTTTTATTCTTGGGATTAAATGGGAAGTCCATCCTTTGTGGAGTCCTAGAGCTTGTTGCTGACATGGGATTGGATCCCGGGGGCCTTACTTTGAGCCCCAGGTGTAAAAGGCTTCCTGAGTGACCCGCTTGGGCGAGGGGCTGTCGTCTCAGCCTGATGGTGCCTTCTGTTCCCACACAGGTTTGTGAGCGGCCGCTGATGTTCCTGCTGGACACTCCTGGTGTTCTGGCTCCTCGGATCGAAAGTGTGGAGACGGGCCTGAAGCTGGCCCTGTGTGGTAAGCCAGGGCTGGGGCAGGTGTCCCTCCGTCCCATGGTGAGGGCTCCACCTGCTGACTTTGGCACAGGGTCCCTAGACTGAATAGAGCTGTTACTGACTTTGCCCTGGTGTCACGCTTCGCAGAGCTCAGTGTGAAAGCGGTGGTAGCACATAGCTGATAGATTCTAGTCACTGTTCTGACCCTACCCTGTGAGACAGTGACCTTCCCTCACCTGGTTTGACACACAAGGTTAGGTCACATGGCCAAGGCCCAGGCCAGGTGGGAGGAGGCACCAGGACATCAGCTGCATACCACCTGCTTCCTGGGGAAGCTACTTTTCCCCAGGCTGGCCTTTTCCTTAGGAGCATGATTGTCTTTGGGCTGAAACCGGTATGCTGACTGTTCCAGGCACTGACCTCCACTGCCCCTGCAGGAACGGTACTGGACCATCTGGTGGGGGAGGAGACCATGGCCGACTACCTCTTGTACACCCTCAACAAGCACCAGTGTTTCAGGTGAGTGCAGTGAAGGCCCTCGGCGGGGCACCTCTTCCTTCTCTCTCATCCTACCTAGTCTGGTATAATTTTTCATTTTATTTATTCATTTCCTTTTTAGAGACAGGATTTCTCTCTGTGGCTGGGGTGCAATGGTGTGATCATAGCTCACTGCAGCCTTGACTTCTTGGGCTCAAGTGATCCTCCTGTCTCAGTCTCCCAAGTCGCTAGGACGACAGACTTGTACCATCACACCTGGCTAATTTTTAAATTTTTTTGTAGTAGAGATGGGTTTACATGTAGTATTATGAAGGTATTATAGACACAGTAACATGCACATTACTTCAAGTATACAGTTTGGTAAGTTTGAACATATGGTGACATCTGTGAAATCACACAATCAAGAAAGTGAACATTTCCATCAAAATTTCTTGTGCTCCTTGGTAATCACTCCTTCCTGCCCCCTTCCTCTGTGCGGGGCAGCTATCTGCTTTCTATCACTGTAGGTAGATGTGCCTTTTCTAGAATTTCATGTTAAATGGAATCATTCAGGATGTACTCTCTCTTATCTGACTTCTTTCACTAGTATAACTGTTTGGAGAGTCATGTGAGCAAGTAGTACTGAGTATCAGCAGTTTATCCTTTTTCTTGCTGAGTGCCGTTTCATTGTTACACATATAGTGCAGTTTGTTTATCCCTCCACCTGTTGATGGATATTTGGGTTGTTGGCAGATTTGGCTTGTCACAGATTAAGCTACTTTGAGTGTTCACATGTACAGGTCTCTGTGTGGAGTGTGCTTTTGTTTTTCTCGGGTAAATACTTAGAAGTGGAATAGCTGGGTCCTATAGGCATGTTTGACTTTTTAAGAAATTGCCATGCTACTCACAAGCAGGGATTGATGAGTGTTCTTCAGTTTCTCCACATCCTTACCAACACCTGGTGTGGTCAGTCTTTTATTTATTTATTTATTTATTTATTATTATTATTTTTACAAGTCAGTAGATGCTTATTTTGTGCCTATTCTGCTCGTGGTTAAAAAAAAAAAGTAAAACTAGAAAATTTACAAATATGTGAAAATCTCAAAAATGTAGTTTTTTTTGTTTTGTTTTGCTTTATTTTAAAGACATGGAGTAGAATTCAGGATTAGGTAGATAAGAGGTTATCATGCAGGTGAGCTTTGGGGCTCCCTTTGGTCCCACTTTGCCTTGTTTGAGATCAGGTATGCTTATTGATGTTATGTCTCCTCCCTCCCCTGTGGTCGGTCTTTTAATTTCAGCCTGCCCAATGGGTATGTGTGGTGTTGGGTAGCGTTTACACACGTCCTTATGAGCTGTGTTGTCCAGTTGTGCTGTGCTACCAGGTCTGAGCATGCTGGCCTTCTCAGAACTGATGCTGTCCTCCACTGTGGGAGCCATTAGGCAGGCTCCTCTCCCTCTCCACCTGTCCGGAAGGTTGGGTCCAGGCTAGTTTCCTGGCTTCTGAGGCTCTGGGTGGTGTTTGTGGTCAGGGTTTGTCCCTGTCTGCGGCTGCTCTTTTCTGGCCTTTCCCTTCAGGCCTGTCTGCCCAGACCCTGCATAGGGAGGGCACAAGGTGCTGGTAAGGATCACTGGGTGATGCTCAGCAGTGCTGGCGACCTTGTCAACCCGAGCTGGTCGGATTGGCCCTTTTCCAGCAGGGTGGAAAGGACGCAGGTGTCCGGGCTGCCTGGGAGTTGTTGAGTGCCATCCACAGCAGCAGACGGAGCATGTTGGTGGGTGGCCTGCTGGGTCGCCCTTCTTGGTCTCCAGTGCAGCCCAGGCTGGCACAGACACCTGCCTGTCCTTGCTCACAGGCAGGGTAGACGAAGCCTCTGCACACGAACAGCCACTGTTCAGACCATTGCAGCCAAGGGCTCCAGTGATGGGAGCTGCCCTCCGTGTAGCTGGCCGTGGCCACACAGGACAGAGCTCGGGAAATAGGGTGGTGGCTACCCTGTGGAGCTCAGTGCCTGGCATCATGGTCACAGTCTAATCACGGTCACCCACACAGCGCCACCGTCCCCCCCAGCCTCGTCTCAGTTGCCTCGTAGCACTGCAGTACTTGGTCCCATCTCAGTCAGCCACACTGCACCGCGGTCCTCATCTTGCTCATCACAGTGCACTGCGCTCACTCACAGTTTCATCTCGGTCGCCCACCCTGCGCCCTGTTCACCCACAGCCTCCTCTCAGTCACCCACACTGCAGCACAGCCATGCACGGTCTCACGTCGGCCACCCACGCCGTACCACGGTCACCTGCCGTCTAATCTTGGTCACCCATACTGCGTCGCAGTCGCCGCCCATCTCACTGTACCATGGTCACCCACCACCTCATTTCGGTCACCCACACCACACTGCAGTCTCATCATGGTCACACTGCACTGCGGCCACCCACACTGCACCACAGTCGCCCGCCATTTCGTCTCAGTCACCCACACTGCGTTGCAGTCACCTGCCAGCTCATCTCGGTCACCCACACTGTACTGTGGTCACCCACAGTCTCCTCTCAGTCACCCACACTGCAGCACAGTCATGCACGGTCTCATGTTGGTCACCCACATTGTACCATGGTCACCCACCGTCTCGTTTCGGTTACCCACACCACAGTCACCCACTGTCTCATCATGGTCACTCACTGCACCACGGTCACCCCCCGTCTCTTCTCAGTCACCCACACTGCATTGCAGTTACCTACCATCTCATCCTGGTCACCCGTGCTGCACCAGTCATGCACGGTCTCATGTCAGTCACCCACACTGTACCATGGTCACCCACTGTATCGTTTTGGTCACCCACACCACACCACAGTCACCCACTGTCTCATCATGGTCACTCACACTGCACCATGGCCACCCACACTGCATCATGGTCATCCACTGTCTTATCCTGATCACCCATGATGCACTGTACTCCCCACTGTCTCATCTTGGTCACCCACACTGCGGTCACCCACAGTCTTATCTCTGTCATCTCACACTGCATAGGTGTCACTGTCACCCATAGGAGGTGCTGTGCTGTGGCCTTGTGGAGCTGGGCATGGCCTTCAGGAGGAAGGGCCTGGCCGGACTCCCTGTGCGGCGCTGGTGCTGGACCCCGTGGCACTGACTTGTGGCTTGTATAGGTATGTGCAGCATTATGGCCTGGGTAGTGCCTGTGACGACATAGAGCACGTCCTGAAGAGTGTGGCGGTGAAGCTGCGGAAGACGCATAAGGTGAAGGTGCTCACGGGCACGGGTAAGTGTGGGCACAGGTGTGGGCGTGGGAGCCTGTACCCTCTCACTCACAGGGAATCCCTGGCTGTCCCCAGGGAAGGCAGGAAGGAGAGACATAGCGAGGATCACAAAGATGGTTCTTCTGGGAACCTGGGCCGGGGAGCTACAGAAGGTTCTAGAGAGGAAGGTGCTCATAGTCCAGGCTTCAGAGGGCAAGACTGGCCCTGCTCCTAGCCCTGGCAGTGCTAGGTGGATACCCACAGGCCTCACCTGTCTGGCCTCTGGAGGTTCCGGGAGAGGCCTGGGCTCTGTTTTCCTTTTGAATCTGACCTGCTGGCCCAGACTTCCCTGACGCTGGTCTCTTAGGGCCAGTCCCTAAGGAGGGTAGGGGCTGGGCCTGTCCTGCTGTGAAGACACCTTTCTCACCAGACCATCCCATCCCCCAGGTGATGTGAATGTTGTTCAGCCCAACTACCCCATGGCTGCCCGTGACTTTCTCCAAACCTTCCGCCGTGGGCTGTTGGGCCCTGTGATGCTGGACCTCGACATTCTGCAGGGGCCACCCCCTGGCCGAGACTGACCCCTGAACTGGGCCAGGTAGTGAGGACACCAGAGGCATGTGGCCCCCCAGACCTTTTTTGGCTTGGGTGCTTAAGGTTTGGGACAGCCCACCCTTTCCAGCAGCTCCGTGCTAGCCACCGGGACACTGTGCTCTTGTGCCCCACCACGGTCTGGCCAGCTCCTGTCCAGAGGCCATGCTAATTGGGTGGATGTCAGGCCCACACCCCGACGTCCCCGAGCAGTCCTGCATGCCTGGTCTGCAAGGAGGTGAGGTTGATGCTGTATCAGAAGAAATTAAAAATTTTTAAATCCCAGATGAAAGGCCTGTCTTTTGTTGACCCAAGAGTTGTACCATTGTGCCTTGGGCCCTGTGTTAAAGCCCCCATCCCTGGTGGAAAACAGGAAGTGAATGGGTTAGTCGCTAGGGCTTGTGTCAGCTGCCCTCACTTCAGTGCCCCAAGTCCTACACAAGGAGCAGCCTTGCTGTAGCAGAGGGGTTTATTTCACAACACTGTTAGACTGCACACAGACATGGATAAGAGGTTCTGGGTGGCAGAGCCCAAGGACTGGCTTCTGCCCTTAGGGCTTCGGGGGAAGAGGTTGGACCCTGTGCACGGCCTTGTATCACACAGGCTGGAGGACTGCCTGGCATGGGTGGCAGAAGCCCCAGGCCTTCGAGCACCTTTGGGGCAGTGGGACTTTGATGAGGGGCTGAGAGGAGGTGCAGGGGTGCTTCCCACCAAGGCCGTCAGTGCACCCGAAAGGACCCAAGGACTGTTCCTGCACCAGCCTGCATCCTAGAAAAGGGACGAGGAAGGCGGTGGGCTTGGGCTGATGGCACAGACGAGGGAGGTGCTGTGGGGCCTGGGGTGGCGACCCCCTGGTCCGAAGCTTGGGCCCCTTGCTGTCCGTTGGGGCCTGGCCTTCCCACAGTGGTCTCTGCCAGGGTCCTGGTGTGTTGCCAGTGCCCTCCTTGCTGGCTGACCCTCCTCCGCCAGCCACTCTGGATGCGGTCGCCCCACACCTTGCACTCTCAACCTGAAACTACCCCTAGTGCATCTGCATCCTGACTGCCTGGCTGGGAAGTATTCCGATTCATGGCTGTGCCAAATGCCAATGTGCTCAGTAAACAGTTGTCACAGAGTACGGTGTTTCCACCACATTGAAACCTTCCAGCAGCTTGTAGTGGTGTGGTGTGTGAGGGTCTGGTCCAGTGCGACTATCGCCTGCATGGGTTTCTGTGAAGCCAGAGGGCTCAAGTCTGTCTCTTTGCCCGGGTGAGACTCAGACCCTCCTGCGGGGACGTGACAGAAGGGCGCCCTCTGCCTGTGAAGACCCTGGGCAGGGCTTGGAATTGGCTTGCTGGTCCTCGGTGGCATTGAGCTTGGTCTAGAAGGGATGGAGGAGCACCTGGGCGCTCTCTGCCCGGAGAACACTGGCAGTGTGGATGAGAGGCTGCAGAGAGCTGCCTTCTGTGCTTAGTGCTCCAGTGTTTGGAGAAAAGTGCTCGGTCCAGGTTCCTGCTAGCAGCTTCCAGACCTTCCTCCTAGCCAGAGCCTGGGCCTGCTGGAGAGAGCAGAGGCTGGAAGGACCCCTGGGCGGTGCTGGTCTCGACATTGGTGCCACCACCTGAGTCCAAAGGCTCGTAGGCCTGTGAGCAAGTACCCAGCTGTGGGTGGGGCTCTCACCAGAGCATGGAGGGAGTGAGATCCCAAGGCTGCAGAGCACCAGGGCCTGGGAAGACCCATCCTACTTCGGGATGAACTGATGATTTGAGAGCTAGGGAACTCCGTAAGGAGCTGAGCCCCTTGGCGCTGAGCCCATGGCTCCAGCCCTGGGGAGGCAGAGGGTCACCCTTACGCGCAGAGGGTTTGTGTGCTGGAGGCAAAGCCTTGTCAAGATTGCCCAGTGCTTCCTGGAGGCTACTTGACATCTGCCCTGTTCTCAGAATGTCCTGATGATCAGGCAGCCCTTGTTGGTGCTGCACGGGAACGTGGCTTCCTCACCATGGGCTTCTTGTGCACAGGCCGCATCTGCTGGCCTCTGCTGCTGTGCTCATCCTTCAAGGACCTGCCGGTGACTTTGCTTGGTCCATGGCAATCCCCTGGCTTCCACTGAGCAGGCCATCAGCCACCATTTGCACCACACCAACACCAGGCCCCTCTGCTGCGGTCTGGTCCGGCTGTTCCTGAGGAAGGGGCTTCTGCTGGGAAACCTGGGAGGGCTCTTCAATGGGGATGGTAATTGCTGCACCCCTGAGTACAGGCAAGAACTTTGTGATCCCCAAATGTGAATTGAAAGTTCACAGGAAATGGAGGCCGGGTGCAGTGGCTCTCACCTATAATCCCGCCATTTTGGAAGGCCGAGGTGAGAGGACTGCCTGAGCCCATGGATTCGAGGCCAGCCTGGGCAACTTAGTGAAACCTCATCACTACAATAAATCAAAAAATTAGTTGGGCATGATGGCACATGCCTGTAGTTCCAGCTACTTGGAAGGCTGAGGCAGAAGGATTGTCTGAGCCCAGCAGGTCAAGTCTGCGGTGGCCATGAGTATGCCGCTGCACTCTAGCCTGGGCAGAGGAGTGAGACTCCAACTCAAAAAAAAAAAAAAAAAAAAGAAGAAGAAATGGAAAGCTCTGGAATGTGTTGATTTTTTTCCTTCCAAAATGGGTCTCAAGAAGAGTGAAGTGACTTGTTTCAAGTTGTTGGAGCAAAGTGGCTCCCAGAGAAAGGAACCTTCCCTGGCGTGGGTCTCGCAGGGACCTCGGCCTCAGGACGAGTGGTGGGGAGGCCCAGGCAGCCAGGGTGGAAGCTCCTGGGCCCGTTTTCCTCCTGGGGAATGTTCCTGGGCTGTGAAATCCACAGGATCGGCTCTTCTGGGCAGGTGGTTAGCACCCAACATGTCCACACTACAAGTTCTGAGTAAACGTTCTCTTCTCCCCCCAAATCCTGAAGTCCTTTGGTCTATTCTGCTTCTGTGACCGAGGCCACCAAGTCCTCAGTGGCAGAGCCAGAACCAGTCCAGCCCAGGTCACCCCTGCCTGTCAGCACTGCCCGTGGTGACCAGGGGTCTTGGCACCCCCTTCAGGCAGCCCCGGGGGCTTGAAAGGCGGCTGCATTGCCTTTCTGGCTGGGAGGGCCCACACATCCTGGAGCCATCGGGGCCGCTGGTCCGCGGGTGGGGGGAGATGGGAGGCTGGGCGCGCGCGCGGGTGTTCACAGGTAGCACAGCCTGCA